GGAATGCTGGACCAGTCCTCTTTAAAAAAAAAAAAAAACTGTTTCAATTCAGCAATATTCTTGGGATGTCTGGTGTGAATCGTTCTCTTGAGGTCATGCCACAGCATCTCATTCGGGTTGAGGTCAGGACTCTGACTGGGCCACTCCAGAAGGCGTATTTTCTTCTGTTGAAGCCATTCTGTTGTTGATTTACTTCTGTGCTTTGGGTCGTTGTCCTGTTGCATCACCCATCTTCTGTTGAGCTTCAATTGGTGGACAGATCTTCACCTCATTGAGCATTCTGCACTGTGCTCTTGCTCTTCACTCCTAGGGAGAGTAGCAACAGTGCTGAACTTTCTCCATTTATAGACAGTTTGTCTAGCCGTGGACTGATGAACATCAAGGCTTTGAGAGATACTTTCGCAACCCTTTCCGGCTTTATGCAAGTCAACAAGTACAGCCTCACAGTGCCTGCATGCAACCCAAAGGTTGCTTTCTCACGTCTGGTATAGGGACACAAAGGCCAAATGCATTAAAGTCGTCAAAACATAACAGCACAGCAATTTAAAAGGCTGTAATTGAGTCATGTTGCTTTTTACATGTTCCCCTGCTCTGGTGAAAGTTCCCGAACCTTGAGAGAGGATTTGAAGAGGATACTGGTCTGGTGTTTCAGTGACAGACATCACTCCAATCATGTAAACAACTCACTCCCCTGAGTCAGTTGGTTAATTTAGACGGAACTGCTGCTGAAGTGGTGAATCTGGGAGAGAAAGCCAACCAATCTCATCAGTCAGTGACAGAACTGCACACACACACATATTACAGATTATCTGTCTCATGAACTACTGTCAGGATATAGTGAAAGTTTCAGCAAATATGAATGAATGTCAGCACACAGATTTAAGAAGCAGGGTTCTCTTTTTTTTAGTATTTTTTTTGGCCTTTTATGCCTTTATTAGATAGAGATAGCTGGAGAGAGACAGGAAAGGGGCGCAGAGAGAGAAGGGACTACATGCAGCAAAGGGCCACAGGTCGGACTCGAACCCGGGCCGCTGCGTATATGGGTCGCCAGCTCTACTGACTTAACTGAGTTAACCGGGTGCCCTCTCTAGCTAGTTTTAAAGCTCTGTATTTATAGTCTGATGCAGTAAACATGCGTCTGTGTCTGGACTTCAGTGCTACTTTGCGACATAAATCACTCTGTAGTTATTCCTACAGGTTACTGCACCTTTACTTCAAGCAGCTTGTTTTCACAGGCACCTCGGCCCTGTGGTCCACTAACAGGGTGTGGTCCCCATTTCAAACTGAAACTTACAGTAATGTTCAGTCAGCAGGGAGCCCTTCACTGTTTCCTACCGTGCTACAATCTGGTTAAGTTTACTCATCTGTGATAATGTTCCCTATTTAATCTCTAATTATTGAACTGTGCCACAGTAGAGACATACAAGCACAGATTGTTCTGCTGAAGTCTTATAAATATTTATATACTGACATGTTTTTTTTTTTAGTTTACTTGCACTTCTTGTTCCAAGCTTAAGGTTATATCATAAATGATCTAACATGTTGCTTTTTTTAATCAACATTTGTTATTGAAGTCTAAATGTTGGTACA